TGGGTGCCCGTGTCTCGTTGCGGTCCTTACCGGGTGTGAAGGTACCTGGAGAGCGACCTGCTCCTCCGCCGTGCCAGCTGCGAGCGCCTGGCCGAGCTGGAAGGCCGCCCGCGGGCCTGGGAGGGGATCCTGCAGCGCTACAGGGCCGATGCGGTCGAAGGTAGCTCAGCTCGGGGGCGGGGGGTCTCTGTGACCTGCTCTGACATCTCGTGGGCTGTGTCAGACATGAACACACCAGCAGAGCCCAGCAAGGCAGGCAGTGGCCTCACAGGGTCACAGGGCTTGGGCATCTGTTGTATGTGGTCTCCTAAGCCAGTTTGACGTTTTTCTTCATTGCTTTTAGAAACAGGCTATTGTGGGTACAGAGGACAGATATGATGCATTGAGCTCACAAGGTGTTTGTTTCCTTCCAACTCAGAGGCGCTTCTGAAGATCTCTCTGTTTGTGGACAACCAGCAGGAGCTGTGCTGCTCAGCAGACCCTGACCCTGACCAGCTTCCCTGAGTGCTGGAGTGTTCTCAGGTGGCCACGGAGGAGGATGCACTGAGGAAGCTTTTGGGAGCTGCCTTGGATACGTGCCCTCAGTAGGAGATGCTGGGACTGGGTCATTTTCAGTGTCTGAAGAGGCTGAGCTGGACAAGCCACCAGGGTGGAGCAGTCACCTTCAGCTACTGGATTTGTTGGGTCTTCTCCCTGCCAGGGGTGTTTTGTGTGCTGAAAAATGTGTTGAGTGACTCACCTGAGCTGTGCTGCACAAGTGACACGAGGTCCAGGCAGCTGGTGCCACCCGAGGGACACGTTCAGTCAGAGCAGGTTCAGACTCACCCTGCACCCACTGCCTTTGAGCAGGGCCTTTGCTGTCACCCCAGCTCTGCACTGAGGGGCAAGGAGCAAACTTGGCTGGAAGGTGCAGGGACACGGGCAGAGCCCCGTGCGGAGGGCTGTGCTCCTCTGGTACCTGCCAGGACACGTTTGCATCTCAGCCTTGAAGCTTCACACTCTGGCAGCAGCTGCTGCCAGTCCTGGGGACACCTTTGGCCGTGGCACTGGGCTCTGCCACATCCCCAGAAGCAGGAGGGGGCTGTCTCTGACATATTGAATAATAAAATGTAGCTTCTCAGGGAAAACCCAATAAAGAGTCAGGTGTGGGCAGAGGGCAGGGGTGTGTGTGCTTCCTGCTGCCCCGCCGAGGGCTGCACCTTTGAGCTGCAAAGAAAAATGACGTCATGTGTGACATCAGTAGCTGCCAAGGGAGGGGCAGGACCCCCCGGGGGCGCCCCTGGGCTGCCAGGGATGTCCCTGCCTGTCCCCGGGGGTCCCCGGGGGGTCCCTGCGGGCGCTGCCCCAGACCCTGCGGAGCCGGGACGCGCGGGGGTCCCAGCGCTGCTGCTGGGAGGCCCTGGCCGGTAATGCTGGTGTTCCTGGAGGCAGGACCGTGCTCACACGTGCACAGGCTGTGCAGCCCCTCAACACCCTCTGCTCTGTCAGTCTCTTCAGCACAGCTGGAAGGGACGAAGGGATTTAACACTTGGGAAGGTCTCCAGAACAGCTTGGTGTGGCCGTTCTGCTTCCGCAGGTGTTTGGCCCCCGGAACCTCCATCCCTGGGCTGGCAGCAGCCCGGCTGGGGGTGCTGGGAGGCCTTTCTTAGATAGAAGTGGCCGGGGCCTGGCTGGCTGCAGTGGGGTGCAGGAGGGGCTCCTTGACATTTGATGTAATGAATGACTCAGTACAGCTGCTGGTGATGGGCCGTGTCATCAGCTGCATCAGGCTGTTCTGGGAGGACAGGACTGACCCTCCCTGTGGAGCACCCTAATTGGATACAACTGGAGCTGCTCCAGTCCAGGATCTGGAGGCTGCAGCTGCCAAGGGTCCCCAGTTGCCAACGAGAACGTGGCTCCTCCAGCTGCGGATCCCCGGGAATCTGGGGGTTCAAAGGCCCCACCACGGGACAGCCAGGGTGGGCACTTGGTCTTCAAGCATTTGCCTTGGAAGGACTCCAGTGGGGAAGCTGCTCCTCCTCCTGTGGTGCTTGGGAGCCGGCAGGGATGGGTCAGGTGGGATCTCAGGGATGTCACTGCTGTCCCAGGGGAGCAGCTGCAGCTCCTGCAGTGAATCCTCATCAGGGCCGGGGGGCAGGGATGAGTGTCCAGCCTGTGCTGTCCCAGGTGAGGGCAGGGGGTGAGGGCAGTGCTGAGAGCTCTGAGGGCGACTGGTAAAATACCCCTAACCATAAAAATAAACCTGAGCTCTGGAGCAATGCTCCTCAAGTATTCTTGCCTGGAGTTCCTCTTTCAGGAATGCAATAAAACACAGTTAGCAGCTGGAGCCACCTTGTTAAAGTAACATTTTCAGGAAACACAAAGCTTGTGCTTTGATTTGCAGCTTTACCTCCTGGTAACTTAATTTGAAAATAGTTATTCTTCACTTACAGGGAAAGCACAAACTAAAATCAGTTACTACATTTGAATACCCGTGAACATTTATAGAGAGCATCTGACTTCTATCTGCTTAGTTTGTTTTTTCATGTAGGGTGGAAGTTAGCTCCTGATGCAGTGGGGTCTGACAGTTCTGCCTCAGAAATGAGGACCTGCTGTGGCTAACTCCAGGCTTTCAAAAGAAACCCAAAAGCTTCAGCATAAGCTCATGGATTTCAACCTGTTTTAAAAATCACATTTACTACAAGGGTCCACAGGTAGGAAAAAGACAAAGAATTTGGCACCTGATTGTAAGTGAAAAGTGAGTTGGAGGCAGAAATATATGATACAAAGTTTAGTGGGTCACTTAACCAGGCATGAGTTTCACAAGCCTCTGTGGTTTTCATGCTTAATCTTTGAGACTTTCATCCTGGCCTGGAGCAGAACTCCTTTGTGATTCTGCAGGGCCCAAGAGGCTGCACAAGTACTTACCCATTTGGAAATAAACCCAACATTCTCCCAGTGACACCAGCTGGGTGTGCAGCTCTGCTCCTCACGCTCCTGCCTGCTCTGCAGTGTTCCTTTGCTGCTGCTGGCTTTACTGCTGCTCTTTCCACTTTCCCTGTTCACTTGCTGGGGAGCTCCAAGGGGAGCAGAATCTGCTCACCCTGCAGATGTGGGTTGTGGGGACACATCTGGCCGAGGAGCAGAGGAGCTTTCCAGCACATGGTGGGCACAAGGAGGGGCTGGGACAGCCTGAGCTGCCCTGGTGGGGCCCCGGTGGCTGCTCCAGCCCCTCCTCTTGCAGCAGAGCCTCCGGGACTGCCCCTTTCTGCACTTCACACCTCCACAGGACTCGACTCTTCTCATCACTCTCCTTATCTGCCAGTCCTGCCTAGGCTTTGCTTTAATCCTCTCTTCCTGCTTTTCCCCCCAACCCTTTCCCTCCTTCTCCCTCCTCCTGAGGAAACAAATCTACAGTAAGTGTCTCTTGAACTTGCCTGAACTCCTCATCCCAAGCACCTTCTGACTAATCCTTTCCAGATGTCCAGGAACTTTTATGGTTAGCAGTTCTGCTCACGTTCCTCGTTTATTCTCAGACAGACCAAACATCATATTTACTAATATTATTTGAAAAATAAGACTGATTGTGGCCTTCTGAGAAGTTGTTGCCACCTCAACATGCAATGACTGCAATGAACACCACCTCAGCCTTTCACCCCCCAGCTGGAACACAACAAACATTGTAAAGAGCACCAGAATTCTGTTTTCTGCAGCTGACTGTGCTCCATGGCTGTCCCTGAAGCTTTGGAAGTGCTCAATGCTGCACTTGCAACCTGCCAAGGGACAGGGCTCTTGGCTTGTGATTCCCAGCCACAGCAGCATGGAGGAATCAGGAGATCTGTCCAAT